CCCTGAGGGGAGGGATGGGGCTGAGGAGAAGGAAGGAGGCGGGGGGAGGTTCGGGGCAGAGGGGGTGCTGCGGGAGCTGTTTATTTTTTTGGGCAGGAGGGAAATCATTTTTAGTTTTGTGCCCTTACTAGAAAATTACTTAATTCAGGCCAAACGCTGCCTTGAAATTGACTTAAATTGTTGCCACCAAGTCTGTGAAACAGTCAGTTTGGTAAGAGATTGCTTTACTACCAAGAAGTTAAAATGTGAAGCTAAGAACATGAATCAGTCCCACAGTAAACACTTTAAAAGGTCAAATGATATCACCCCGTACTGTTAATAGTTGGTTTTCTGATTCAGATCCAGTCCAGATGTATTTGAATCCCGTATGGAAAAAAGAAATGAAGTGAAACAGCAGCCCCTGGGATATTCTAAGCAAGGAGAGTTTGTCAGATGCATGGAGGAAAAGGCAAGGCCAATTTTCTTTGTAATCGCATATATTAAAGCTATAATGACACTTATATAGGATCAGCGTAATGCTGCAAACATATGGTGTTCCTGTTAGTAAGGAGCCCCAGAATTTCACTCTCTGGTGGCTAAAAAGATTGTTCTGTATTAGTTAGGTATTTTTTAGACTGTAAATTCTGTGCTTGAGGCTTTATTTAAGTGTTTATATAGTTACAGATCAGTTTGGCCAGATGGAGTGATGTGATCTTGCTTTTTTCATTTTTTTAGGGAACACAAGAAAAGTGTTGAATAATATTAGATCCAAAATGCATACTAGTTTTTAACTAGCTTTTAACTAATCCTTTCTGGCCTTGGAATTCCTAACTCCCATTAAGCTACTCATGTTCTTATTTACTTCTCCTAATAAATAATTTATTTTATTCAAAATGCACTGCAGCGATCTTCAACTATCTTAAACTTGAGCTCCTACTCGGGAGATTTTTGTCAGCAAGCACGTTATGTGTGCAAGGGAACGCAAATAAGTGGTATTAAAGCATCAGCTATAAAAACTAAAGAAGAATGTTTTCTTCTAGGCAGAAGGCTTGGGCACAAAGACATCAAAGGGAGGATTCACAAAGGATAAGGTAAGGGAAATGAACCTGAGTGTTACGAGGGGACACACAGGCAGATCAGGGGTGTGGATTAATTTGTACAGTCACCATCAGTGCTTCAGCCAGGAGCTTCTTAACATAAAACTAATGTTCCTTATGCTGTGCTCAAGTGTAAGATTTTAATTTACTGTTGGGTTCATGTTCAATCTTAAAACTCCTGGTGCTCTGGGTTTTTATTATCCTGTCCTTTGACACCCTGGAAGTTTCTGCTAGTTAGGGGATCTGTACTGAATGCTCTCAGTAATAAATGGAAAGGGATAAGCTGCGTTTACAGTGCGTAAATATATTTCCAAAGATCAGCCAGTAGGGGGACAAGAGAATGGTTTTATTCTCTTTCACATTCCTGTATTTTGGCAAACTTTCTGTGTGAATCTGCCAACAGAGCATGTGTCTGAGACAGTTGAAGGCAAAAGGCTTCAGCTCCTCTGGCAGCTTCAGTAGAGATCTGCACAACTGGAGCAAAGTGTGTTCTGACCAAATCTCTTCTATTCTGCCTCAGCATCCGAATCCACTCCTCAGTGTGTTACCGCTTATGATTTACTAGTTTCTTTGGCAATTAAGAGGACTAAGTCACACTGTAAATTGAATTAAGTTCCTCTAGCTTGATTTTGTTCTCTGTAATTGTATCCATTCATTGTCAATTCTCACTTGAATCAGAGAACTGTCATGGTGCCAAATTCCTTATGCTTTCTCTTGCAGACTCTTGATTCGATTCTTAATGTTGAGATGGTGAAAGATAAATCAGCGGAGGAGATAAAACAGGTGATGGATTTGAATGGAATAAAGTTTGCACCACATCTGTGCTTAATAGTAATCTACATGTGAGGATGGAAATTTTACGCAGACTGAAAGATAAAACATGGCTATGAATGTATATTTGTAACAAGCATATTCACAAGCATATCAATAGTAGAAGATTTCTCCATGCAGGTAAGTCCACATAGAATGTACCAACTTGATAAATAATACATCTGGAATTGACCACTCAAAACCTGTCTCTACTGTAATTCTTATTGTAGCCATTTAATGTGTAGCAGCTACAGTGGTGTTAGCAAGCTCCTGTCAGGTTTCAAGCCAGGTAAGGGAAAACCCCAGCAGCAGCTCATGTGGATTATGCTACATCTGTTTTGCAGGAATAAAAACAAAGCTTTTGCCTTGTTCTACCTTTGCTAGCGTTATCTGTCATTCAGGAGTCTCTGTACCTGTACTAAAGCTGGTTAGGGGGAGAAGGCGGTGGGTGCATTAGTTTGTTTGAAGAACAGTGTGAATCAAGTTATTCTCCCTACTATATGCTTGGCTTTGCACTGTATTCCCTCTTACCTAGTTACGAGTCACATCTGTTCTGCATTTCTGATGTAGCTTGAGTTGGCTCTGGTGGTTTTTTTTCCTAATCAGACTGTATGCCAAGAAACTTCATGTAGGCATGGTCATTTAAGCGGAGTAGCACGTATGAAGGAGCCTTCCGACATGACGTGAGAGCAGAAACCTAGCTGCTTTCCTGATAACCACTCTACAGTGTTCTCAGGCTATGTGCTTTGCAGGGGATGGTGTGCCACCAGTTCTAGAAGGGAGTGGATTTGATAACTCATGAGTTTCCTTCAAGTTTTTTCATTGTTTAAACATTTCACTGATAATTCTCATTAGTTACGTAGGACTGGGGAAGAGTAACTGAAAGAGGCCTGGACTCTGGGCTTTTAGCTTGTCCATTTATTAAGGACTTTGAGCTTTTATGTAGATATTGCCATCCTGCTGCAATGAAGAAAAGGATCGTGAACGCAGAGAAACATGATGCAAAGACTTGTCTTCTTTTCAAAATGTTTTGTTTGTTCTTTATTTGAAAACCAAACAACTCTGAAAATCATTAGCATGATTATTGTGAAAAGTGTAAGATGCATTTCTGATGGCTAGTAAATCTAGAGCTCTCTCTGAGCCCACTGCTTATTTCTGTTACCTAGTTGAAATCTGGCATTTGATACAAGAACTCTGCAACGTTAGTATATTGCATTAGCAGGAAAGTCAGTCAGCCTTAATTGAAAAATGACTCCTCAAAGTGCTTGCAAAGGTTAGTTGACAAATGGAATTCTTTTTAAACTATTTAATATTACTGCTAGATGCTTGATTTTAACTGTAGCTTGTCTCCTTTGTTTTCTACAGATTTGGAATCAGTATTTTGCTGCAAAAGATACGGTTTATGCTGTTATTCCTGTAAGTACTTCCCCTGTAGATATGCACTGGCAAGGCCAGTGTGCAAAGCTTTCCTTTCTAAGTGTGATTCTGTTGCTTCTAGTGGCAATCATTGAAGGAAAATGAGGTTTCAAGAACAGACTTTCTTTACAGATTGAGTGATGTTATTGCCCTAAATAAAGACTTTTGTTTCCGAAAACGTGTATCCCTTTTTGTCTCACATGAGTCTCAGTAAAGCTTGTCCTTTTTTTTTCTGCACACCTGGCTTGAATTCCCAGGCATTTTTTTATTAGGAGTATGTATGCCTCTTCGCAGGGCCCTAGTATCTATTAAGGTAGCATTTCTATTTTCACATCATTTTTTCTCAGAGTCGCTCATTTCTTTCCCCTATTCTCTGCAGCACAGACTGCTAACTCAAGTTTAATCTGGCAGTGTTGGAGCACTTGGCTAATAACTTGCACATGGCTAATCACTTATGACTTTCATACACTTAGAATTATTGGCAGCACTGTCTTTCATTGAGAGTGCATGGTGCTTCCTGTGATAAGATCATATTTCTTACCTCCGTTCACTTTGCCAGATGTTAATTGTTGTTAATCTGCACGATGCTGAAGAAGTTGTTTTCACTTTTGTGATTTCTTTTTATTCTTTGCTTCAGAGTTTCTGTGTGATTGTGATCTCTTAAATCTGTCTTTTCACAGCTGGGCACGAACACACAGTTCCTTGAGTTCTTGAAACCTCATTTAGATCTGGGGTCTGATTTGCAATTGTAGTTGGCCCTTTGAGCGGCAAGTCGGTGGGAGGCTGTATTCTGTATGCTCTGAAAATGGCAACGTGGGATTTGAAGTCAAGCAGCTTCATGTTTCAGTTTCCCCAACATGTGGATTTTGTGAAAATATTTTGAATTGTACATTTACTGTAGCAGAGGGCCAAAGCCAGGGACTCCAGTTAAGATGGTGTGGGTCTTTCATTAGTGGGGCTGGCACTGTTCTTTGGGGCACTGTTTCAGAGGAGCTTTGGAAGCTTTTAAGCCTTTAATGCAAACCAGATCCTAGGCACATTAGAAAGCAGTTCATGGTGTCATCGGGGGAAGAAGCTATGTCTTTTTCAAGAAACTTTTTGTTGGCTGGAAGAAAGGCCTTGCATAATTCTCAAGTGCTCAAAAGCACACACAGAGGAATTTGGTGTTGATGAATGGCATATGTTTTATTTCCTGAAACACCTTAGAGCAGGTATTAATGTGTGGTGCAGGGAAGAGAAGAGCAGGCAAAAGATTGGGAGGAACACAGAGGACGTGTGAATGAGATTGCCAGGTTTCATCAGGGATGACCAAATATGTTTGTGGTTTTTATATAAACTGAAGCAATAAGTATGTTGTTTGAGTAAATATCTAGGCTGCATTTTAATACTGAAGAACAGATGACTGTGATGTAAAATCTACGATTTGGGGCCAGGGATATGTCATCTTGCTCAGCTGTTGACACCACATGATGCAGTGGAGCTATTACTGAAAAGGGACCTAATGTAAGCCTAAAGCATGGGCCCCCCACCTCCAAGGAATGAAGCTTTGGATACAAGGAGTTTGGTGCAGCATCTTAGAGACGGCATTGTTAAAATGAGGTGCCAGTGACATTTAGGTAACTAAGAACTAAATGCAGTTTTCTGTGCACTTATTGTTAGCTGTGCCTGCAGTGAGACCTGTAGATGGAAGCTGTACCCTGTAAAGGTTAATGAGATGATTCTGAATAACTGACCACATTTGTGTTATGAAAACTGAATTTCCTTCTCCTTCCCCAAAGGCAGAGAAGTTTGACTTACTATGGAGGAGAGCCCAGAAATGTCCATCGGTATGTATGGCAGAGACTCGCAATGTATGGATGTATAGTTGTAATGCACTTTTCCTCTCTAAAGCCTAATCAACTAAGCCACTTTCAACCCTTCTGTCTTCACATTTATTGTATCGGCTTGATTAGTAAAATCCAGGTGTTCAAATATTTGTTTTAGTGTTCAGATAAAAGCAAAGGCTGTTTGTATGTGTTAAACAGTTTGATCTGGATATCAGATATCCAAATAGAAGAGATACAGGGTTCAGAAATGAGAGCACAGCATCTGCCAGGGAATGGATTTAGCTACACACTTCTGGTTTCCATTCACTGACGTCTTGTGGTTAAATATGTTCCGTGCAGCGCTGTGATGAGCCAAGCCTCGTAGGCCAGCTTCATTGATGCTTCTGTGTATTTTCCCATATTGCTTAAAGCATCCTTGCTTTAACCTGGAGGAACTGCTGTTAGCTTGGCCATAGCTACAAGTCAGTTCTCTTGTCTTAGGGGTGGTGTGAGTTGCTCCTCTTTATGTTTGTTTACTGGCAGTGAAAATAGGCAGGAGTATCTGAAAGCGAAAAAGACAAGAAATCAATATGTTGGGGTTCTGTCTGCAGAACGAGCTGAACCTTGGCATGTCTTAGCCTGCTTTTTCTCATCATAAATGTGCGTAGCCATGCTTGCTTCACCATACTGGTGATGGGGGATAGGTAAATGTTGGTAAGCTTAATGTGAGCTATTTGCATGGAAACTATACCGGGCAGGCACTGTGCTGTGTCGGTAATGTGTCACTGTCTCCAAGGGAGTGTGAGTTGTCAAAAAAGACTATGTGGCACACACTGCAGAATTTAGTAGTGTAAGTTCTGTTGCAGAGCATTGTAATTCAACAGCTGCGATGGGAAGGAAGGGGGGAGTTGGGTGTAGTTGAAACCTTTATTACAGATACAGAGTGAATACTCTGGGTTGTGCCTTAGGTGTATGCCAGCATGGCAAAGCATAAAATACTGAGAAGGCATAATATGGTTATTTCAGAAATGAGTGGATTCCCAAGAATGTGTTTGTCATATAGGTTGGTAGATATCTGGTAAGCTTCAATTAGAAGATTCCTATGTGAATGAGCACGCTGTTGCTTTGAACAAGTTAAGCTGCAAAAGAGCAGAACAGCTAAGAAGATACAGGACGTCTTTCTGCAGTTTTGTACCACATGCTGCTGGATGAATATTATTTTCTGTTGAAAATAATGTGTTTTTACAGTAATTTGTGCACTGAAGCATGGACTTCGTGCAAATTTCACTGTCCTGAGACAGAAATGAAATGCTTCACTCTGTTATGAAAACAAAGTAGCTAGACTTCGCTGTGTTGAGAGGCGTGCTTTCCTAGATCTGAATGGGAGACTTTACTGGGTTGATGGATTGGTCCTGTATGTTTCATTTGCCAAGAGCAAGATCAAATATATCTGGCTTCCCAAGCTACTCGGCACTTGGAAAGTTATTTTTAGCTTTAAGTGTATTTTTGCACAGTGCACTAGCATTTAGTCAGGTATCCTGCTTCTTTTTCTCCTCCCATGTTGTCCTTTCTCTTGGAGTGGGAAAATGAGCAAGTCCCTAGCCGATGGGGCTGAGTGCACTAACTCTCTAAAGAGAAAATGCTTGCTGCCTGTTCTGGAACAATTGGTGAAATTATAGGATTAAAAAAATCTGATTGCTTCTTATCTTATATTTGACCATTTCTGCTGTTAATTTTCTAGAAGTAAACCAAAAGGTCAGGTCTGAATGTTCTCCACTGCCCTTTCCTTTGCCTGTCACTCAATATGTGCCAAGATATTTACTTATGAAATAATACTGATGAGGTAATGCTGGTGTATTGTCTGTTTTAAAATCTGGTTTCTGCTGTCCTCTTGGTGGGGCAAATAAACCCTTTTATCTGTTGTAGTTCTCTCACCAAAGAGTTTATGCTGGAGGCCAGTATGACACAGGCATAATTTTGTCCTATGAAATGCAGAATTATTTTTTTTCTCACTTCTCTGCAGTTTCTGTATGCTTTGCCAAGAAAAGAAGGCTATGAGTTCTTTGTGGGGCAGTGGTCAGGAACAGAATTACACTTCACATCGCTAATAAACATTCAGGTGAGTGGTTAAAATAAAAGTCCAAAAGTGGCTTGGAATGCAGAAATATATCAGACTATTACAATATATAATTTTGATAAATAATTTAATGAATGGGTTGTCTATCTTCACCTGAAAGTAACTGTTGGGAAAAGCTGCCATTAATTATAGGTACTTGGTAAATTTATGGGTATTAAGAGTCTAATTGAAAGGGCATGGAGGTAGAAGTCAGTCTGAAAATAGAAGCAAGCACCAAACTTTTTAGAACTGTGTAAGCTACTTAAAATACCGGTAGATGCTACGAGATGAAATGTCTTTATGGAAATTGCGGCTTCTTTTAAATGCAAAATGGTCTTTAGTCAAGAAAACACTCAACCTAACTCTGCAAATCCCTTGTTTTCTGCAAATACCGGGAATAATGAACTTTTAATTAGAACTGACCCTTAAGCCCTGAAAAATGACTGCCTCCATAGCAGTTAATACTCAGAAGTTTTTAAATCAAGCCTCCAAATCTGCAACAGAGCTGAAGTTCTTTATGGGATACTTATGGGATATTTATCTCCTTCAGACTCAAGGTGAAACTGCTCCTAGCCAGTTGGTCTTGTACCATTATCCTGAGCTGCAGAAGGAAAAAGGGATAGTATTAATGACAGCAGAAATGGACTCAAAGTTCTTGGTAAGAAAAATCTGTTCATTGGTTTTCTTCATCTTATGCTGCAACTCCTCATGTAGTTTTGAATTAAAACCAAATTAAGGGTCTTTAAAAGACCCTATCCTAAAAAGTGCTCTTACTAGATTTCTTTAACCTCATCTACTTAATACTAGACAAAGCTAGAAGGAAATCATCAGTCTTCGTCTGTCTGGTGATTTCAGCTCATTTGTTCCCCCCCCCATGCCTTACTCTGGGTATTATGGTTTAGTGTTTTTAAAAAAAATAGAAAGGCTTCTGGCTTTCTTACTAATGGAAGCAAATTTAAATGAAAGCTGTTGCTACCTGCCAACAAGTTAAAACAGTGAAGCTTAATCAGGAGACCTCCAGAGCTTTGTGTTAGGTTTCTGTGTGCCTTTGCTCTTTTCCCTATGCGTGGGTGTGCTGTTATTGCATATCTGTAATAGCACAGCACTAGGACTAATGGCACCAGTGATTATACTGGTGGAACATGATAACTAAAGCATCCCACCTCTAACTGACCTACTTATACCAGTTCTCAAACGATGTGCAGAGGAGTCATTGGTAATGTGTTTTCCCTGTTGTGTCTCAGAGTAAACAATCAATTTTTGCAAATAGGTCAACCGTAAGAAGGGAAAGATGAGACTTTGGTGCATCTCCAGTGCCTAAGAGTGGGCAGGGATCATGAAAGACATCTTTGACCTCTGAGGTGTATGCTCAGCAGGGGAGTAGTTTAAAGGCATGGTGCTGAATAATGTAAGTAGGTCAGGAACAAGAGGGAAGTGGTTTATCAAGAGATTTGGAAAACTAAGGAGACTAGGAATTAAGTCATTTGATGAGCAGGACTGCAGCCTTTCAGCTGCTGAAGAGCCTTTTTCAACTGGATACTCAAATACAACGAAACGATGGTGGACACATTCTTTGTTTTGACTTGCAGGTGGTCCATGAAGCACAGTGCTTGGCGAATCAGGTGCAGCTTTTCTATGCGACAGATCGTTCCGAGACCTTCGAATTAGTGGAGACCTTCAACCACAGATCTAATGAATTTAAATACATGTCAGTTATAGCAGAGCTGGAGCAAAGTGGACTTGGAAGAGAACTGAGACCTGGTCAGGTTTCTGACAAGTCATAGAGCCTGACCTGTGGGTGAAGCAAGCCAGGAACAGGCAGAGGGTTTCCCAGACGGGATGGTCCTGTCTCTCTTGTTTTACAGATTTGGTTTGGCTGCAGAAAGGATTTGGAGACATCCTACGACTGTGATAGACAAGCCTGTCTGGCACTGATGCAAGATGAGGACTTGGGCCATTTGAACGACAATAACTAATTACCAAAATGGAGCCTGTATGTCAGTGTAACTTCATCAGAACGAGCCATTTTCCCATCCTGAAACTTACTGCTGTGTGCTGTATTTTTGAAATCTGAAATAAAGTGACAGAAGGGGAGCTATGTAATGGGCTATACTAACATCAGGAGACAGATAACAATCAATGTTTCTTCTCAGTAAATGCATTTTAAAGGCCCTCCGCCATTATAATTGCATGGTCCAGTGCTTTTTAATCTGTGTGGAATTTATCCAGGCTTGTCCATCAAGAGAAGAGAATAGGACCAATGCTCTGAAACAGACTCCTCTTTGTTACTTTGTGTGTGAGGTTCCTTACACAGATGTGTACTGTGGCCTGTGTTTTTCTCAGGATTAAGAAATAGAGTGACTAGGTTTGTTCTGGGAACTTTGTGCTTCTTAACTGATACATTAATTTTATCCTATTACTGTGATTCTGTCTTAGAAATGGGTTTTTTTGAGGAGTAGGATATTATAAACATGGTTTTATTTTGGTATATTTTTGAATAGTGTAGAGGAATTATACATGCTTTACAGAATTAATTTTTCTTAGACTGACAGCTAGTCGGGTAACTCTGCAAATGGTACTTGGAAGGACAAAAATAGCTCTTGTACACATTTCAGGAAAGTCACTCTCTCCAATAAAAGCAAGATGGAATTGCATAGTATCAGGGGCAGAGCCACCAACTGACTTCTCAATTGCTAAGTGACGGTGTATGAAAAAATGCATTGTTGTGAATATGCACAGCAGCTTTAACACAGCAGCATTGGTAAGAATCTGGCTTTTAAGGACTACAGCTGGTTTCATTTTTTAAACCTGCCTTCAACAAAAGAATCCCAAAGCATTCGTGCTTTGAGCTTCTCTTCATTCCCAGCAGCGGCAGCCAGTGTGTGTGGACAAGGGCGTGCTGCACCAGTGCTAAGTGATGTGCAGCCTGTGCATGGATTGTCAGTGTACCACCGCTGCACAGGTAGGCGAGTGAACAGAGCACAGCCAGGAGTTTCTCGGGAGCGATGCTGAAATATTTCCCATATCCCCATCAAATCCCTTGCACTAACTTGCTCTTCGCACTAGTTATCCATTATGTCCAGACCACGTTGCGTCTTCCCATCTGCCTGCTGAAGCTGGAAAGCATTCCCTCCTTTGCCAAAGAAATGGAGGCAAGAAGGGTGAGCAACTTGTCTGTCAGAGGACGACCAATTTTTTGGGCAGGGCTGGTAACAGATTTTCTGTGCTACCCTTAACTGTGACCTGATACGGAGGTTTGATTAGTTATAAAGGGCTCTTAAACAATCTGTTTGCTAGTGTAATTGTAGGACCCTGTTGCTGTTACACTCACTGTCACTCCATACTTTATCAGCCTATTTTTTGAACATGGACATTGTTCAGCTAAGCACTAAAGGTAGATAGTGAGGTTTTATTTTTGGGGTCTATATTAGCAGCAACTCATACACATTGGGTGTGAATGCCTGTCCATTCAGGGAATTATAAGATGTTTCTAGAAGAGGCACATCTTCTCCTGGGGCTCTGCTGCAAGAAGATGGTCTTGCTCCCTGGTAACATCTTTTAGTTTCTGATTGTGTTGGTGTATGAGTGTGTGCATAGCAGCCTGTGTAGCAGGGGAATAGTCAGAGGAGGTGTGGATAAGGCTGTTATAATCTGAACAGCAAATCACCTTTATTAAAGAGCCTTTCTACTTCTATTTAACAGCATTTGTGCTCCATTTATCATTTTTCCCTTAGCTGAAATAAGGGCAGTTTTGATTCATTATTCACTTCCTGCTTTGAAGAAGTCAGAGTTGCTGAAGAGTCATCTTTAATATAGCTAAAATAAAACACCTCTGGAAGAGCAATAGGCAACAGGAGTGAAATTCAAGGCTTCCACATCTATACCTGAACTTCTTTCGTAGCTTAAAAGGCTAAGTCTCTAGTAAAGGTTGTAGCAGTCATTACCTCTAATTTTGAGTGGTTTTTTTCAACCCATCATGTGATTAATCACAAGCTAAGAAATTCTCCAAGCGTTTAAGACAGACAGAGATGGCAAAATCAAGAAAAGCAAACATTTCTTGCATTGCATGCATTGGAATGGTTTGTTAGTGAGACTCAAACTGAAAAGACCAAGTTGATCATACCACCTGCAGCCACTCTGCAAGAGACTGCATTTTCCTGCCCTGGCAGAGGTGGAATGGACTGATGGAGGGAGCAAGGGCTTTTTTCTGTGGGTGTATTGATGTGCCTTGAAGTGTGTGTCATAACATGTTAACCCTCGTGTCGGGGTGAGACCACTTGGCCCAGAAATGACTGACTTGGTGTCAGTGATGTGGTGCTGACTGCATCTTCCCTGGCAGCAGAGGAGCAGAGAGCTGGCTAGATGTGTATATGCGTGTGTGCAATGGGAGGGAGATACTGGAGGGCGCACAAAGCTGGATGTTGCACACCATCATGGGAGGTATTCCCACATCTGCTGCTGAGAACGGGGTTTGCTGCAGTCGTGAAAAATGTTACCGCTGTATTTTCTCCAGGAAGCCAGTCCTGCACCGCTGAAATGCTGTTGTGAGTGGGGAGGCTTTGGACTGCTGTCTCCTACTGTATTCCTGTGTGATTTTCTGTTTTCCTACAGATCATAACAGCAAATGGCCGGGTAGTCTGAGATGCTGGGCTGTCAAAGTAGAGCGTCTTGGTCATGGACAACAAAGCTGTTTCAGTATTTGGTGGCCTGGCTGTAGGATGGAGGTTTGACACAGTGTGAATAAGCTCCCTAATTTGTAAATGGAAAAGGGGAAACAGTCCTTTTGGAAATCTATATGCTACTGGGTGTGCTCATGCTATGGTTAGGACTTGAGCAGCACAGTCAGATCTGTGCTGACTGCTGCTGCAGTGGAGATGAGGCTGAAACTGGGACAAAACCCCATCATAACAAGGTCCAAGAGAAACTCTAGGCCCCACTAAATGGTTGCTGTAAGGGGGAGTAACTCAGCTGAAGAATTGGCCCCACAAACCATCTTTGCTGCAGAAATACGCCCACGGTCTTTTGTGGCTGTGAGGCTTCACCAGTGCCTGGTGTATACTTGTGCATCAATTGCACCGCTGGCTGCCTGGAGCAGCCTCAGCATGTTTCTAAGACATTCTTAGGATCTGCGTCGAGCCTAAGAGCTGGTGAAAATAATATTATTCTTGGTGTGGGGAAAATGTGAGACTTATGTGCTACACAGCCACTAGAGGGAAGGTTTGTCTGTTCTGAGCTAGCAGCGCACAGCTTGTGTGAGCCTGTCTGCTCAGCTTTGTGAGCTCCGCTGAGTTTTGTGCTAGAAAACATCTGCCCAAGCAGCTCCTATATGGTTAATATTGCGGTGGGCTGCACCGAGACCAATGGTTCCCCTATCCCAGTGTCCTAGATGACCTGCCTTGGGAAGGGTGAACACCCTGCAAGAGTTCTCCAGGTTGGTTTGCTGATTTCCAGCTATTTGTGGGCGAGGGTCTTCCTGAGCTGGATGAATTGCTGTTTCTTTAGTAGCTCTCAAGTGGGGCACATTCATGGAGGAGAAGCCTGAGTCTCCCCATGGCCCCATGTAGGCTCCAGCTCCTGCGGCACCCTGCAGCAAGGACTCCCCGGCTGAGCC